CCCCCCCCCCCCCCCCACGCTTCCCCCTCTTTTGCAGGCGATAGATGATGACCGGTCCCTTAGTTTAGTTTTCTATATTATGGGGGCGTGTTTACCAAAACATTTCTTCCACTCGCACTTGTTGGATATGTAACAATATCTGCGGGAGAACTGGGTACTAGGTCGAAAAAATAAATTGAGATGGTTTATTGACAGAAAATGTTTTGAGGTTCTATGTTAGAGTTCAGGATATCCCTTTCATCAGTGTTTGTTACACAAAAGGCACGTTCGACCTTACACAAAAAACTCTCACTCTCTCTACAGTTATGCACTCTAAATATGTAGTTTGTGACATTTACGTTGCGAATGAGGCCTATCACGAGTCCATCTCTAGGAGCGTACAACTCCCACACTAAGCCTATGTCACGGCATTTTCACAGACCGGTCTATTTTCAAACCGTTCTTTTCCCTGCGAAATAGGTCATTTCCGGTCTACATGAGCGCGCATCGGTAAGGAAAAAAATGGCTACTTTTCTTTTTAATCTTCCGGTGAAATGATGACGTCAGTAAAAAATTAAGTGCGTGCTTGTGATTGGTCACTAGTGATGAGCTCCTGGACCTACTATATATTCGTACTTACTTACTCAAAACAGACAACGCTATGCTTATTCAGCCCGCCAATCGCTTGATGAAAAATCTTTTCTTTAATATGGCATTCGATGTCTTTGGTAAAGCTGTTAAAAAAAACTGCTGTGTTGCGTCGTCAGGCAAGTGAATTACTTACTATTTATAGCTATTTATGACCTTGAAGTTGCCAAATTAACCGCCGTAGTGCGTCTGGAACTGAGCTTTCGAGCGTTAGCCCTTGGCTGATTTAACTTTACAAAATCCGTTTGGTGGTAAATCTACCTTAATCAACCTCAAGCTGATAAACAGCTTCGTCTTCCTTTCGGTTCTTGACTCTGGAATTCCGTGTCAAGTAATAGTAAACATACTTCCTTTCTGTCTCTCTGCATTTGGAAAAATTATTAAAAACTCGATGATCAAAACTCACGGTGACCTTAATCCATATAGTACTGAAATAGTAAATTGTAAATAGTAATTCATTAGTTTACTAAATATATCGAAGAAATACCCCACTTAACCCTGACTGAACGCTTATTTTCAGGCTTCTTTCTTTTTTGGGGGGTAGGGGATGTCATCCGCTTAATTAGCTCTAGCTACGTGGATCATCAAAACTCACAACACATGTAATTTGTCCTTCAATTGGTAACCTGCAATTTAGTTTTCTGATTTCCTTATCACCTAGATTAAAGTTTGTTTTGTTATCGACATATCTTCATAGTCAAAAACTAAATGGTTATTTGAGCCCTGATGGCATTGGCTCTCAGAAGCGATGGTTTAGTTCTGGATAGAATAACAAAAGCAAACAACAACATATTCTCAAAATAGCAAAATAGCTTTTATTGTTCAAGCATTGAATGCATTTCTCGATAAAAATGGTGGCGATGAATTGCCACTACGTGAAATCCAGACCTCTTGAAAACAAAGATTGCATTTGAGGAAGAAATCATAACAAACAATGCTTTTATTCTTTGTTTCATCTTTGTAATGAAAACAGCTTCTCGATTTACAGTAATAAGAAAGCCTACCTCAGTGAAAAAATACGGCTAAATTTAAGTGTCGTTATTGGTCCAATTCTTCAAAAAAAGAAGTAGAAACCGTTTCCGTTTTGAAATACAATATTGTGAGGCCCGTTCAAGTTTGGCTCAAATATGCAAATGTTCAGGTCATATTTAGTTCAAGCCACAAGTTACAGTTACACTAACTGAATTGACTTACAAAAGGGAAATATAAATGAAAATGATCATTTGGATTTTTCCATGACTGAAGCGATGAACTTGAGGCCCACCTTAACAACGTAACACTGATGGTCAAATCTTCCAGTTGGCATGTCACACACACTTGTCCAGCGGTTCTCCTCGGGAATGTAACATTCCACTGACCTTAAGACGTGACCTGGCCTGTTGCTACTCACACCACCCGCAACATAAACCTTACCAGCATGCACCACGGCACAATGCTTCATTCTGGAACATTGCATTGGGGAGATATGCTGCCATGTGTTAAGTTTTGGGTAGTAAACTTCACACGAACAAAGTACATTCTGTCCGTCACTTCCACCAAAGACGAAGATGCTGTCATTCAATGACACTACTGCAGCGAACTGTCGTCCGACATTCATGGGTTGAACACAAGTCCAAACATCTATGAAATAGTACAACAAAAAACTTGCAAAAATGATCTTGGTAATAATAGCTGGTAACAGTCAAAATTTCTATAATCTTAACAATGGACGGGGGACGCTTCTAAAATGAATAAAAATGATGTGGTCAAAATCTTGCTTCATTCTCCTGAAAAAGGAGTTTTTTTTTTCGTTAAATGTATTCATCTTTTAGAGTTTCACATACATTCTGACAAATAGTAGAGGATTATAGGCACATGATCTTGCATCGAGCTTAGCGAGCTGCTTAGAAAACAAGCAGCCTTGGATACTATGCTCTTAGTACGGTTCTGTGTAAGCGTTGTTCGTAAGATATGGATTTTATCACACAAATGTATTTTAGTTTTTACGTGCTTAAATAACTTGCTTGCGGAGTATCTTACTCATTGCTTTAGTAGGAGTAGGGCTTTTCATGATCATGCAACTAGACTGAAGTAACGAACTGCATGCCCCACAAAGCCGAATTCGCACAATATGGAAAGAGAACTTTAAAGTATGCAGGAACAATCTGTTTCAACGCAGTATCCGCTTGTATTAAAAGTGCCCGTCCTTAGGGAAAGTTTAAAAGTTTGACAATTAAGCATTCTTATTTGTAATTTTTTTATTTCTTAGCAATTTATAATTTTTTTTCATATTGGGTTCATTTTATCCTTTGAAATGTTCTTTAGTTTTTTTACAATTTCCCCTAATTTTAATTCTTTTTTTCATCTGTACTTAATTTTAAGATTTTATAAATTGTACACATCTTTTTTTCACAGGGTCCCTATGGATACCAGCCTCGTTGCTGTATGGGCTCCCCTGGTTAAATAAAGTTACAAACTTACTTACTACAACTGAATATATTTGAACTGCGGACTGAGTGATATGAAGATATGATTGATCACCTCAGTTATGCACACAACTTAAGCAGTTGTGAAACTAAAGCCTGAAAAAAATTAGGCCTGAACGAGATTCGAACCTATGACCTCTGCGATACCGGTGCAGTGCTCTACCAACTGAGTTATCAAGCCAATTGGGAGCTGGCCACCTTGTGAGTTCAAAGTGGCCAGTTTCCAGTTGGCTTGATAGCTCAGTTGGTGGAGCACTGCACCGGTGTCGCAGAGGTCATAGGTTCGAATTCCGTTTAGGCCTAAATGTTTTCTTTTTTTTTTTTTCAGGCTTTAATTTCACAACTGCTTCTATATCTATATCTTCATAACCTTACTTGCTATTACTTAGGCTCGATTTCAGCCGCTCTCGCGAGTCCGATCTACGTTCTTTTCCCGAAAAACGGCTGGTAATCGAGCCTAACTATTACTCAATCACTGAGAAAGAGCAGAGAAGACTAACAAGTGAAAACAAAAGGAAAATCGTTTGCCCATTTTTGTCATATAGGATGTCCAACGTTTTCATTTTAGAGCTAAACAATAGCCTGCAGAGCCTGTGCTAACTTCCATGGACGACGTCTGAGCTTCACAAATGTCAATGCACATTTTCAGCTCAACAGAAGGATAAGGTATACAGGCGTAATTTGTTTTCTTTTCTATCGTTTCTATCGCAGATGGAAAAAGCTTTGTGCAGAATTTTACCTTTAGCTATGTCGTAGGCTTCAACACTTCCAATCATGTCTGGGATAGCATGTTGGTGTGGAGCTTGAAATCCGCCAATGGCATAAACTTTGTTCCCTAGTAACACCACACAGTGGCCCGCCCTGGGAAAAGACAACGATGCTAGAGACACAACACTTGAAGAGCCATCTTTTAACTCAACACTGAAGACACTGGATGTACATCTATCAGCTTTTGGATCAAGTCCTCCCACAAGAAGTAGGCTACTAGGGCCAGTGGAAACTGCGCAGAATGAGTCCAGTTCAACATCATGCATTGACGGTTGATAATTAATTGAATCCCATAAGTTGCTTTGACCGCTAAACCTTTCCACGAAAGGAATCACGGGATCTCTCACACAAACGTCTCTGAGACCGCCAATGGCAAAAAGCTTGTCTTCCAAAGTCACCATTTGGAGCCTGGAATTAAGTAATTGAAGTTTTGTGAGATCGTGTGTATGAACCGCTAGAAAACCAAAAACAATTAAGTGGACCAGCGGCCTTTAAACTCTGTCACAAAAGACACCAAGGTAATTTAAATATTGCGCCGACAAGTAGAGAATAGATTTATATAACTTAATCAATATTTTTAAATTTTGCTGAGAAAAAACGAAATATGTTGCTGTCACTTGATAGCTCCTATTGATTGCTTTTTTCATGGTCAATGGGTTTATGTCAGCAACGAGTCTCGGACATCAGTAACTAATTTTACGTTACCTCCATCGAGGAAGCTGCATTTGTGACAAGTCCGTCCATTTATCCACAGCAGGAATGTAACAACACACACTGTTCAGGATTGCTGAATTATCACATCCACCTGCCACCACAATCACATCAACTGCGCTACATGATTTTCTTGACGCAAACTTTCCAGCTTGTTGCGCCCAGAGTACCTCTTTGCCTGCTTGTCTGATTTTCGAAGCCATCCTGAACTCATTGAGCTCCTTTTGATCTAACATTTCTTGAATGTGAGGCAATCTAATTAATTTTAACAGCTGGGTAAACCAGTCTTTTCTCATTTCCAGATCATAATTTACCCAATCGTTTATGATTTCAAGGAGCTGCTCTTCGTTGTCAATCTGTATGTCGTCACTGGATAGAAACTTAATAATTTCTTCTTTTGGCAACTTCAAAAAGCTCTCTGTTTTGGCAAGTTCAATAAACTTTCGGTTTACATATTGGTTGACTTTTTGAATCAAACCGTTACATGAGAAAGCATGAGCAATGGAGAGAATTTCAAAACAATTTTCCTTATCGATTATACTTTCTAGAAATTGACAACATGCTTTCTTTACTTTTTCCACAAAAAGAAAACTAGATGCTTCCAACAACTCAAACACATTATCGACGTGAATTTGAATCTGTCCGGTGTACATGAACTCCAATAAGCTTTCCATAGCTGCTGCACTTATAATCCTCAAGCTAGCGCTAGCCTTATCCTTTTCCAGCATGTCCGTGGTGAACATGGCTAAAAAGAAACTGCTGTTGGCCGCAAGAACTCCTTTATGAGCTGGAAACTCCTCGCCATCCACTTTTAAATTAACGTCGCATAATAGTCCTGCTTGTCTCTGCGTGTTCAGTTCCTTTAAAGTCTCGTTCTCATCACCTGGTATCTCAAGGCAAGCCAACTTCTCTTCGCTTTTTTCAAGATCCATATTTTTACTTTGACAAATCGGACTACATTTACTTTACCCAACAAGCTTAAAAGGATAAAACTCTAATGCCGAGCGCATTACAAACGTAACTGCTCTAATGAGTTCTCAGAAAGAAGGTACTTAGCTGATGTAAACAAATCATTGGAATATTGACGAAGATTGACAATCCGTGATACCCATATCTCCATGTGGCACAAAACTAACATTCCCGTAATTTCAGGAGTGTGGTTTCATTACAATAATCACATTAATTTCGTGATGTTATTGCCATTCTTTCTAAAACCGTATATAAAGAGCACCTTACTGACATATTAAATGCTGGAGATGCTTTTGGCTAGCATGAAAATTATGTTTTGATTTGCACTGATATTCGACTGCTGGTGGCTACTAAATTATTAAATTCGACGTAGTTCATTTGCATTATTATCAACTCTTTAATATAACAGAGAACTAAATCTGATGTCAGTCTCCGTATAGATAAAGACCTGCTTTCATTAGTTCATTTTGAAGCTCTCAGTCCGGTGTCAGATGAAATAAACAGAGTATATTGTCAAGAAGCAAGTTGTGCTTACTGCCTGGGAAGCCGCTCCCTAGAAAATTTATGTAAACACTAAAATAAGTAAAATATAAGACTACAGCTCAGTTCGCGCTTCTTAGATATCAAGTGCTGCGAAATTCCCGTATCTCATTTGATTTTCAAAATCGTACCCTAAACAAAACCGTAGACAATGAATGAGTTCTAGAAGGTACCTTAATAATAATAATAATAATAATAATAATAATAATAATAATAATAAGTTTCTTCCTATTTTCCTTTTTTCTTGTGAGCCTAAATATCAACGCATCATAACATATCCGTCTTGTAAATCGCTGTGAAAAGGATACCTCATTTCAAATGTACTATTCTCTCAATTCCATTTCCTTCCTCCTCTTCCCCCCCCCCTGACTCTCCACCCCTCCCCACAATATGGGATAATCTTGAACTCAAGCCTGAGGTAATCAATCCTTTCTGAATAAAATAATAGGAGTATCCCGTTTTTGCGCTCGCTGAGGTATGTTCTTAGCTCATACTTTTCTCCTTAATACGAAAATCTCGTTACTACAGAGACACTCCGTGTGATCTGTACGGTCAGCCATACAAGCGAAATTTGAATGTAGTAAAACTGCATATCACGGTTCGTAATCTCATATAGAGGCTTGTATCACAGTTTAATGGGAAGTAATTATCAAAGAACATTTTTTTTTACTAAAGTTCATTAGCAACTTGATTAGGGATGCAATGGCTGCATTACATTGGGCGCTTTTCCGAATTAATTTTTAATTTAAGTGAATGCGTGTGTAAATAGCCCAACGACAAGTATTAAAATTACAACGAATTATAAATATATGACCTAGTGTCAATATTTCAGTTAGAAGTCAAATATAACAATAAACAACGCAAAATTTAAAATACTTAAAAGCTACTTCATTTGGGACGAACGGGATCATTAAGAAGGAGTGAATATCGAGAATGTTACTGTGGTGACACTAATTTGATATTTTTATAACTTTTGTTTGACTAATTTACCTTCATAAATCAAGCCTTTTTACTGTTTTATTACCGAACAAACTGAGATTGCATCTGAGAGCTGTCACATGACTTCACTATGTATACATCAATTGATATACCAAGTTTTACAAATTGCACTCTAAATTCTTCCTCAGCTTTGAAAAATAACATCATGAAAATTGTCAGAGCAACCACGAGCAGAGACAACAGAAAATTAAACTCGCCCGTCATCAATTTGATATAACGGATAAAGTAAAGTGCCCAAATATAATAAAGCCCTGGTAATCTCATGCACAGACGGCCCAGCACAGATAACAAGTCGTGCCTCCGGATATAAGACAATATATTTAGATCTTCATTTTGTCATTTGACGGTGCCTGCAGAGCTCTCTTCGTGAGAGTTTTATGCCGCTACAGCAGCCTTATATGTACTTAACTTGTTTAATGAAACCCTTCGACAGTAATTCCAATACTCCACGGCTACCTATGATGCTACGTACTTCGAATGCACTTCCAGTGACCTAAGGACCACGCGAACCATCGTGCCTTTCGATCCTCGTATGTAGTCTCCGCCATGTTGTTTAAGGTATTAAAGCAACTAAAGAAGCTACATCGCCAACCTCTTTCCCTGGGTCTCTCATGTTCCCGCCCCCTGCAGCGAGAGAGGAGAGACCCTGGTTGGGTCTGGTCACGTGTCTCTCAGAATCTGGGGGATGACAATTAAATTATTGAAGGGAGGGGCGGCCTAGAAGGAATTTTGTCTATACATAACCTGCGGGAAGATGAGAGAACGAGGGTGCTACATTGCCTCCTGTTCTCGACATACTAACTCGCGGCTATTACATGCATGGTGTCAGAAGTAAACCAAAATCTTCGTTTAAGCGTGGGTAGGGGACAACCCGAAAAAAAACTGGCCGTATTTCAAGCAACACGTCGAGCTGATGTTTACAGGACCTCTCAAATCCAGAACAGAAGAGGAGAAATGCAGCTATTTGCTCATCAGAAAGGAAGGGATATCTACAACAAGTGGTCTGACTTCGTAAGAAATTAGAAACATAATACGATCGTTTTGAGAGTCACGTAAGTCCCAAAGCAAATCCTGTGTTCGCCAGATTAAAAATTCCACAGTCGAGTGCAAGACTAACCAGAAACGGCAGAGAAATTCATCACGGTATTACGGATTCTAGCCCAAGACTGCGATTTCAAAGACCCAGAAGAAATGATAAGATCGAGACCTAATAGTCTTCAGAACAAACTCACTCAAAGTCGGAGAAAAGTTAATTTCAAGGGGAGCCAAGCTGTAGAGATTGCAAGGTCACACGAGTCCTCTCAAGGCCTCAAGACCAGCTCACAGCCATGGCAGCTTATTGCTGGTTTTCAGTGTCACGCAATTCAAAATAGATCAAAACAAAAATCAAAACCGGTCGATAGATTAAGTCCAGAATCTGGGAAATGAAAGAAGGTAAATATGCAAAGACT